GGGGGGGGGGGGGCACTGAGGCCTTCCCCATCACTTTACTGTATATGTTAAAACAAAAACCCCTTGGCCTGCCTTCTCTCTGTCCCTGGGCTCTTATCCTACAGCGTCCCGGTCAACAGTCTGTATTTCCTTGTTTGTCCGTTCCCTCGCCCAGCAAGCTGGGAGCCCCCTGTGAGCAGGGACTCTCTTTGAGCTGTTCGCCCCGGTGCCTGGCACGTAGTGGGTGCAAACGCCTGTGGGATGAATCTGCAAGGCACGAGGGTTGGTCAGGCAGGCAGGTGGAAGGTCGATGGGATCTGGCCCCTGCCTGCCCGGGGCCCCTCTCTGCGCCCTGCTAGGCTCTGCGTCGGCCCCTGAGCACTGCACACGCGGCCCCCTACCCTCTCCTGCCCCTTCCCCTGCCGGCTCCTCTCAGGGAGAAGGAGGCCATGGCTGTGGCACCCAGAGAAGTCGGTATGCCCCTGGGTTTGCTGACGGGAGTGAGGCAGAACTTCGCAAGCCAGAGTTGGGGCTAACCCGCGGTGCTCTGGTACCGGTCCCAGTGCCCTGCCACACCCATGCTTGTCCAGCCTGGGCTGGGGGCCACATCTTGACTCCCCCTTCCGACCCAGGTCCTGACTTCTGCCCGCAGGTGTTCCGGAGCGGAGAGGGCATGGGCATCCGCCTCGATAATGCATCTGCCTTCCAAGGAGCTGTCATCTCCCCGCATTATGATTCCCTGCTGGTCAAAGTCATTGCCCATGGCAAAGACCACCCCACGGCTGCCACCAAGATGAGCAGAGCCCTTGCTGAGTTCCGAGTCCGAGGTGTAAAGGTGAGAGGCTGTGGGCCCTGCCTGCCTTCTGGTCGCTCACAGTCCTTGGCTGCACGTGGACTCTCCTGGCTGCTCTACCATTGCTGGGAGTGGGCCTGGGCACCAGGTTTCTCAGATGCTTAGGGGGGCACTGGCCCTTGGCCAAAGGTGAGAGTCTTGCTCTGGGGAGCCCCACACTCCTTCCTGCCCCTCTTAGGTGAGATCCCTTGGAGTGTGTGTTCCGTCCACAAATTACAGGCCTCCCTTCTGGAAATTCTGATCCCACAGGTTTAGGTGGGGGCCTCAGAGCCTGCGTTTTGAACGAGCTTTCCAGGTAATTCTTAATTCCAGGATAGCGCTGGGTGAGAGCACAAGCCTGTGTGGATGAGGTCGCTTTGCATAAAGTGAGACCCCCGTCTGCCCTCACTCCCCTCTTCCCCTTGCCTGGCACATGCGTCGTGTCGGGTGCTTTAGTAGGGATGGCCGGGAAAGGGAGACTGCAGCGGGAGGCACGAGCAGGGAGACCTGGCCCCACAGAGGGAGACCAGGGTTCCCCCGCTGCAGGGGGCTCATGGCGCAGGTGCCAGGCAAGGACCCGAAATGCTCGTTGGCCTCTTGGTTACCTGTGTCTGTGGCTAGAGATGAAATCACAGCCACGTACCGTCTTGTCCTTGAGGCCAGCGCTGCTGACATGTCCGTGGGCATCCCCCGGGCAGATGCTGCCAGTAGACACTGCGGGAAGAAAGGCTCTGCCCTCAGTGGGTCGTGCCGCTCGGTGCGGCTCCTGGGACTCCGGAGGGAGGCGCCCGGTGCAGAGGACGCCCTCCCTGGCTTGCCGTGCACGGTGGCGGTGGCGGGCGGGGGGGACATGCTGGGGCCCTGGCTGGCGGCCCCCCCCCCCCCCCCCCCCCCCCGTGTCGCCTTCTCCTCTTGGCTGCCGCCGGGACTGCCTGGGCTCCGGGCTCCACTGGAGGTGTCAGGCCACGTAGGCAGCCCTGTCCTCTCTTGGTGCCCTGTGACAGCCCTCTCAGCTGTGGCAGCGGCCCCGGCGGGTGCGGTAGCCTTTCGAGAAAGCTCCTGGGAGGGGAAGAGGGAGGAAGGGAGACTGTGGGGCCAGTGCTTGGTCAGCTGTTTCCCCTCGGGCCCTCGGCCCACCTCAGAGGGAATGGCCTTGTTGGGGGTCTATGGGAAGCCTCGGGGCTCCTGGTCTGGGGGTGGTTTCCTGCACACGTACAGAGATGCGTTGTGACGTCATGTGTTCAAGCTGCTTCTGAGGGGTCTTGGTTTTCCCAACATGGTGTCCTGGGGCTGCTTTTGGGGCTGGGTGGCCAGCATGACCACACCATGACCCTAGTGCGGGGCCCGGCTACGCCACCCTTCGCCTGCCTGCCCATGTTGCTCTGTGTTGTCCTTATTGGTGACCCTGACTGGCCCTTGGGCCATGGGATCCTCCACCTGTCCCACAGCCTGGCAGGTTCACGAGTACCTGCTGCCTTAGAGCTCCCTGGACGAGGGAGACCAGGGCCAGGGGGCTCCCAGGGAGGAAGGTGGGAAGGCCAGCTGTGGGACACGTGTTTCTAGTTCCTTGGGGCCGCAGGGTCCTCCCCAAATGCACACCCTGGCACGTCTAAAGCCTCCCACTAACCCTGCACCTGCCACCTTGCAGCTCTCCGCTCCTTGTCCCTCTGCCACGGGCCCTTCAGCCCTGTGTCATCCCTGCCTTCTCTCCACGGCCCCCAGGAGGGCTCAGGCTCTCCCGTTCTTCTCTTTCCTTTATTTAAACCAGGGTCTCTCCCCGGCCACATCCAGGTATGTGTTCTGGGGCTGGGAGGGCAGGCACACGTGTGTGTCAACACTGTGCAAACCCACAAGTGTGTGAGCTTGGCCAGCACACGTGTGCACACACATCTTGTGCCGGTTCTCCCCAGGTGCCCACTAGAACCACGGCGGGCCACACACAGAGACACTCGTGCGCCCCTTGGTGTGTGGACCGTGGCTGCCATAGCCCAGGCACCATCACAGGCCCTGGGGTGCCTGTGCCCACCCTCCACAGTGGGGCCCAGGCACCTGCGTGCTCTCGAAGCATTTGGGTGTGCCCCGTGCAGGGTGAAGAACCACATATCTGCAAGTACTTGGGAGCACAGATCCCTCCCAGCTGTGACCGGGAGCCATGATTGTTCAGAGGCTGGCAGGGATCTCGGGCAGAGAGGAGGCAGAGCAGGGCGTGCCCCCCCAACCTGGGACTGTGGCTTCTTGGAGTGGGGCACAGAAGCAGGGCAGTGGCCCTGTGAGTGTAGGCACCCCTTGGTGTTTGCCCCTCCAGTGTCCAGTGAGGGTTTGACTCAGTCTTTCCGGACAAGCCCAGAGCAAAGCCACGGGGGAGCAGCTGAGAGCTCAGGGCCCATAGCCCTGACAGCACCTTCCAGAAGGTCTTGGGCTGATAGCAGGGCAGTGGAATTCCAAGGCTCTTCTAGTCCCTCTGGGATGATATTTTACAAATCCAGAAGCTGCCCAGGGAGATGGTGAATAAGGCTGTCACTGACGGGAGCCATGGGGGACTTTCTTAGAGTTAAGAATGTTGCCAGTTCAGGTCTCTTTGCCCTGAAAGGCTGTGCCATGTCCCCCGGGGCCCCTGTTGCCACTGGGTATTGTGACATCCATGCCTCCATGAGGATGTCACGTCTTGTCCGCGTCCTGCCAGGGAGGAGCGTTCTGTCCTTACAGATAGAAGAACAGGGTGCAGAGGGCTCAGGCATAGTCCCCCACCCACCAGCTGTCTAGAGGCTGGGTCTAGAGGCTGGGACAGGTGGCACCAGATCCCAGCACTCCGCTATCAGGCGGATGAGGCTCGGGCCGTTTGGGCCGCCTCCGCGGGGCTGGCAGCCCCAGGCCTGACCCTGTTGTGTCCGTGTGCCTCTACTGGCCCACATGTTCCCCCTCCCCTCAGGAGCCTAGCAGGACAAGACAAGGCTAGCACTGAGGTGTACCCAACAATTTTATTATAAAGAAAAACAAGACTCCTGCTTGGTTGGTGCAGCCCCTGCTTCAGTGGCTGTGAGCACCTGTCAGTGGAACGCAGGTCTGGAGGCCAAAACCAGGGAAAGGGCCCCCTGCCTGGCCAAGCACAGAGGAGGCCTGAGGTACCAAGGGTAAAATCAGGAGGGACTCCCAGGCAGTGCCGACCCAACTAGGCCCGGCAGCTGCCCGCCCCACACCCTCTGCCCCTTCCCCAGCCCGCCCTGGGCCGACTCCCTTCCCATCACACCACACTCTCTTCCAGCTGCTCCGTGCTGCCCCCCACCCCCCGGCACCCTGCCCCGAGCAGCCCCCCATGCACAGAGTGGCTCCGTCGGGCCCA